CCCCCCTCCATTCACCCCATCTCCCAAAACCGCTCATTCGACTGGCATAAAGCAAAATGTTCTAGCAAAAGAGAAGGTAGACAATTATGAGTATTAAAGGAGAAAGGGAACTTACCCAGCACCACCCATTGGCCTCTTTTGAAGTTTCGGATCGAAATAGCCATAGTCCTCCATCTCAGTCTTATTCTCAACCAGTTGGGAGACAATTTGCGTGAAGGGGAAGTAGGACTTGCGACCGGAAAGCACACGCATACCCTCCATGAACATGACCTGTCCATGGTACACCAACTTGTTCAGCATCATTCGACCCGTACTACTGCTCTTACTCGACGACGCATCCTGGCTACTCGTCTGGGTTAAATTCGCGATTTTCCTAAACAATTAACAAAGCACAGCGTAAGGTGGTTCTATTTACTGAAACAAGGTTAAACAAACATTGTCAATAAATATCGACAGAAATTTATTATTTTAAGAATGAACTATTTATGTAAATTATTTCATTTTGTAAAAGTAGCGGTTAACCCTTAGAACAACTAAACGAACCATAACCTGAACTGCGGTATTTACTGAATACTAATACATTTTAGCTGCACCAACGAGATATCACCTCCTCCACTAACCTGAGTTTTTGGACGTATTTAATGGCTGATATATCGAGGTCAGGATGCGCAGACTTGAGTTGTTCACCGTAGCGATTCAGGTCGCTGCTGGAGACGTGAAAGACAATGGAACCGTTACCACCACCAGCACCACTTCCACCATTCGATCCCCCTCCTTCACCCGATGACGACGATGAGGAGGCGTTGCAGGAGAGAGCTGCCAATAGAAGGAGACGCAATTTGTCCTCTCCAGAAAAAGCCTCCATCTTTAGCAGATCCGGCAGAGAGTGCTCCTTAAGAAGGACACATGAACTGGTTTAAAAACAGACCCTCCTATTAGCATGGCGCATTTATGCATGAGATCAAATGTCGTAATCAACACTAGACAAAAACTCCGATTTGATAGACAACGAATCAAGGTAGATTGTTCGAGGAAGATAGGCTCTCATTGCCCGGCCACAAATGATAAAACCCCTTTAATAATACAAGACGACCTGAGTATTATTGATTTTTCATTTTACTACAAAACAAAAACTAAACAAACGAAACCACACCTTGCATACCAAAAGCTTACCATTCAAGCATTCAAATAATGCCGACTTAAGACCCTTAAATGACCTAACCATTTTCCTGACTCGTCCTAAATAAGACCATGTTGATGAGTTTCAATGAATGCAACAATGCAACAGGGCGCCATCTAAATCGACACAGCAAGAGAGCACAGAACTTTAAGAGGAAAATATAAAAAAAACAAACTTTCAAATTACTTGTAGAGATTGTAATGTGATCAATTTGTCCTCCACATCATTAAGCAAATCAAGTTGCCGATTTTTTATCTCTTTCGCCAAGTAAGTTGCAATGTGCATATGCATATCCACACATCGTTTCTGCTCCATCAACTGAGGAAGGGTACTGCAAAAGAAGGCAAAATCAATCGGTACATGTTAATGTAACATTGAAAACCGTCCACCACCCAGAGGCACTCACTTGATGGTACTAGTGAGGGCTGAAGTCGCGTCACCGCCATTAATAGAAAAAGATTGTGCTTCGGCAACCGAAGCTTTCAGAGCCCCCAGTTTCTTTTCACGATCCTGCAGGACAGAAAGCTCTTCCTGAAGAGCTCCAACAACATCTCCAAAGGGTGAGGCGCGATGTGACCGCCATATTCGATCGTTGGCTGTGGCCAAGTCGTAGCGCTTCTTTTTGGCAGATTGTCGGGAGTCGGCTGTCTCTTCCCCAGTGTTTTGACCAGCCATCTCTACGTGGTTCAGGTGAATACCCTAAAAAAATGGGAAATTTGCACAGTCATGAGCTCAAATCACGGGTGTAAAGTGCCCTTTTTGCAATTAGATCTTAACGGCAAAATGCGAAGATTCATTAAGTCACCATGCTAGACATTTGACTAAGATTGGTAAATAAATTATGATAATTTATACAAGGCGTATTTGGAGTTAGTGGACGACGAAGTTTCGAAATTCAAAACATGGACGATTATTATTATTATTGTTGGTGTTAGTTGTTGTAGTATAAGAAGTGAATGGAATTGTAAAATATTTTCAGTATCAAAAGATTCAAAATGTCCTGGGGCAAAAGGCGAAATGGAACGGCATTTGATTACAATGACTCAAACACGCCTCCAGTTGTGTTCAGAATTGCAGGAAACAAAAAATTCAGCCGTACTGGAGTTACTGTCAAAAATTCGTGCCAATCAACTGGACTGAATCATATGAAAGCGCTATTACTTTATAATACCCATATTATCAATATAGACCTAGAGGGCTAATGCCAACAAATATTCTATCAAGCACTTCCTCTACCAGAAGTTGGAAAAAAACATTCACTCAAGTATTTATTTGTCATTTACTTGGATGTGTTGGTACCTCGTGATCTACTTGTTGAAATCGGGTCAACAAAGACAGCATGTCAATGATCCAATGGCTAACACCGTAGGCACCAGATACGTACCTGATTTAAGGACAACACGATGAACAAGGGTGTGAAGAACGTTACTCACATCATTTGGAAGACGAATCCCTTGGCTTATACCACAGAGAGAACACTGCCATACTTATCTCCTTAACTATGTCAATACCAAAAAGTTTTTTTTCAACAAATATCCAAAGATTTGCAGTAACGATGCGAGTCTATTGGTGCCCACCTCACCATTACTTTGCTGCCATCGAAAATAGGTCAACAATAAGCCCCACAAAGTAAGTGCAATTTATAGGGAATAGAATGCGCTAGCCTTCTACAAAGAAAATTCCAAAATTCCTTCCAAAATTCTTGTCAAATCAAACAAAAATCCTGCCTTGACGAACATACTACACATCCTACTTCATGTCATTAATAACGATCCATTACGCTGATTTTAATTACCCCTCACGATGTACAATTTGCCAAACCACGCAAGGCTCAAATTAAATGCAATATCAGTAAAAAGGCGGCATCTTTAACTAAAATCGAGCAATAATAGTTATTTAAATAGGCGCAACAAATTAAGCCAATAACATGTATATTGGCAAAATGTAAAAATACATTGAAGAAAAATTAGCCCCAAGACAACTAATGTATTTTATTTATAAATGAAATGTTTAAAAATAAAAGTTCGCATTGGGAAAAAGAATTCAAAAAACAAAAATTTGTAACAAAATAAGTAAGGCGCTTACCACAACATCATGCAAGAGGCTTTGATAAGTCCAGCCGTGGTGTAGAGGAGTAGCCATGTCCAATCCACGATCAAGAACAATAAGAAGCGGTCGTTGGAAGGAGAAAGGTGTAAATCCGGTACCTTTCGCATCACCGAAGTTCCGATGTTCCATTCCGGAGAAAAGCGTATTTCTTGAGTCACGCAACGCCTCCCTGAAACGAGCATCCAAGTCCTTTGCTACCGCTTCAGCAGCATTGAATTTTGAACATCGAATGATTGGAACCGACCCGAGGGTCGCAAAAACCGAGTAAAGACTTTCCGCAATGAAACCAGTTGTCTTATGAATATCTTCTTCAGTAAACGAAGGTTTATTCAAAGCATAGAAAGTTGCATCTTGGAGAGAAGGTTGGTCATTCAACACAAAGAGGTCATCTTCCAGACAAATGAATCTGGTGTATTGATCAAAAACCTTTTTGATTCGCTGAATACAATCTTCTGTTAGAGCAGCCTCCGCTATAGCTTCCAAATTACTACGAGATATGGGACTTATGAAATTGAGGTAGTAGGCAGAGTAGAGATCCGATTCAAAGTCCTGGCAGATGCGCTTAATATTCTTTTCCGAGGGATAGACGAAATAAAGGGCAGGAACATCAGGAATCGGCTCACGTTTTATGTCGAGAAGTCTAGATATTTAATAGTAAAATAAGGTAAAGCTTACAAGTGCAGAGTAACGCCAAGAGATCGGAGCTCTTTCACAGAAAATAGGGGCGCAATTATATCCTGCCCCACTCGATCGTATATAAGGAGCTAGAAGGAGTAATTTTGTAAAATGACTGATTACCTTCCATTGTGGTTCGTCATCTTTCATTGAAGCTGCATTAAAATTGAGCATATATTTCAACGACTCTACAAAATTGATAGGATGAAAAAGATGAATCAGCTGTAAGTACGAATTTTGTAGGGCATTCGATAGCATGCCAGATTAATAAACAGCTATAATAGTATTTTTCAATTGCCTTATAAGTTCGCATAAGTAAACCGAAAAATAGGAACGAATTTTGATATACATAGTCCAAAGTTATACGAATTATTAAGCAAAAATATTAATAATCTAATTTTATGCAAAAAATTAAAATTTCAATACCAATTTCATTGATTTTATGCATTAACTACGTAAAGACGAAAGAATTTTATCTGCAACGCACCAATTTTACGTTCCCGTAAGGAACACGCCATCGCATAGATATTGTCCAAAGCTTTGTGCGGTTTCTATTCCTATTGGTGGTCGATAGGTCTTTGATTATGTTACTTTCACAACTCAAAACAAATTAATGAAATTTAAAATATGATATTAGAGTGACTAATACCATTATTGATTTCAAAAGCAAGATTATATCTGCCAATTATTTGGAGAGAATTAAAATCCAGGGTAAATAATCGGCTCAATTTCCACGTTGTTTGGGCAAGTGGATAAGAATATATTGAGTTGAAATCTATCTAAACTTATATTTTTTCATTTTCTTGAGTTTAATTTCCAGCCAAATTTTGTTGAGATTGATTTAATTTAATTTCTTTCTGAATGTTGTTAATGTTCGATAGTTAGCGTCTATCGAAATTATATAACATCTATTTTAGCTTTAAAAGAGTCTTAAACCTGCTCAGGCATATTAATATTACTTTCAAGTTCCTGTGTATAGATATGTATTGCTCAATTTAATTTTTGTTTTTTCCAGATTTTTACCAATTTATTTGTATATCTGCATTTTAATCGATTTTAGGCATTATTTTCCAATAGAGCATAGATTTTAGATTTATTATACACCAAGATCAAGGGAACTAAAGTGAATCTGAAAATGTTGAGTGAGTAGTTACATATTATGGCGGTTATGTGGGTTCACGATATAAATTTCACGCAGTTAGATAATTTGCAATGTCAAAATTGATTAAACGATTAGTGACTTACCCCATTAAAAATTAGGAAACTTCGTGATTCGATCATTTAAAAATATGAATCTTGTCTTCAAAGTGCCCCATGTACCGACTTTTTCACGACATATGATATCGAAATTCCTCTTTTATATTACTATTTATTTATGTCATCCTTCACTTTAGCATTACATGCAATAATCAAATTTTAGTTATGGTTGTTTTATAGTGTTCACTTTGTCTCAATCAAATAACCAAATGATTCCACTATAAAAACCACCAGCAGGTACTTGATTTTGTTTTCCTCTTCATGTATTCAGATCCCCTTATTATTATAGAGAATCTTCTATCCTAGGCAAAATTGGTCTCAACCCGACCCCTATTACATTCGTTCCGTCTGAAAGGTCACCTTTCCATCTCGATTGATCCCTTATGAATAGACGAGTTCTTGGTAATATGTGTATTTCTTCTACCTCTTGTGGTAACATATTTAATTTCGGGAGACATATCTAATAGGAGATCTACTATAGAGATTTCTAAGTTAGTCAAGGTTTTACTAGTGCAGTAATCCGCTACAGTTTTTAAGCAAACAGGTTTCTTCGTTCTTATTTTTCTCAAGTCACAAGAGGAAGAGATAGTCGATCGACTAATAGTATTAATTGGGAAAGGTGGAGCCATATACACTCCGTGGCGTAAACCATTGAAAAAGAGTGGATCGTGCATTTTATTCAGTGCTGGGGGGAGGGGTAAGGTTACTTGAAATAATATGGTCTAATGGATAAGCTCCCAGTTATCTGTAAATAAACAATTCAAAATTTGCGTATCTAATATCTTCTAGAAATTTCGTGCAATAGATGATGACTTATTCTACTTGAGTGTTTGCCTTGACCACGATTTTATCACGGTATTTTTCACACTGGCAAATACTCTAGGAGCTATTTCCTATCTTTGCTTTATTACCAAATGAGTTTTTTGTTGAAATAGCGCTGCGAATTCAATTAATTCTTTGATTTGACTAAAGTGCCCCTTTGGTGCAATGCTCAAAGCTCACATGAGGGGTCGTTGACGCACATCTATTAAATCATACCACTTAAGAGGCAGATTAAAACATAGAGCTCGGCATAAAAGTTCCTCTTAAGAATGATTCTCTTCTGTTGAAAGTGTAGTTTTCGAAATGATTTAACTTCAAACGTGCTTCGAGCGATTTGTCAGGCTGAAATGCCAACAATTTACCCTCAAATTCCCTTATATTCTCATTCAACAGCACTTGTAATGTCAGCTCATTAGGAGGAATGGTAGAATAATAGTTTCTCTCATTAGGGTGAATTTGAGGCACTTCCCTCCTCCCCCCCCCCCCCCCCCCCCCACACTGAGCCAGAGGTCACGAGACGAAGTCTCATTGTTACACATCGATTGATACGCATGGCCAACCGGATCCTGGTGAACAAAATTGTGGCAACAGAAGGGGATCTCTACGTAAGGGAGATTTCAGAATGACCTTCCTTTATTCAACTTAAATTTTATTAGCAATTCACTTACCCAAATGGGCTTTGGAAGTGGAACTTAGTCCACATGCTGAGCTTTGCCCTCAATAACAGTGGTCAAGTTTGGTATAAAAAATATTCTATGCACTAACTATAAACTTTTTCAGGTCTAATCAGCAGTTAGGATCATGAGTGCAACATAGGTAGACCACATATCAACTGCAACGTATGATTTTAGTCAAGCTACCACAACGATATTGAGGAGACGAACGAATGACGTGGAATGCGTTTATTTGGATCGCTCCACTGACATGAAGATTGGTCATTAAAAACAATGTTTCTACATTGACCACGGCGCGGCCAGGAAGTCTCTGCACTTCCGACCTCATTTGTTTCTTGAAACTATCAGCCGAATTTTCCAGATGGTTCGAGTTCGAATTAGATTGTTTAGTCTAATCTTGTTATTGATTGTGTACTTCACATATACACCACCATCGAAAATATTTCCAACATCCGATACCAGGAACACTGACGCTATAACTATCTACAAAATAGCAATGTTAATATTATTTATTAGGGGTGTGCGATAGACTTACCTCCACGCGGTGCACCCTGGGCAACGTATATTCATACGGCAAAAAAAGTCTATTGACTGGCAGTTGACTTCACACTTCAAACTACCATCACCTCACTCTATGCCATATTCGACTATTTCCATAGTACTCACCTCACCTTTGTTCTACCTTTGTGTTTGTCTCTTACACCTTTGAAACACTCTTCTGTTCACCCCCTCCCTCTCGACTTTTTTTTAATTTGATGTTCCTTCCCCTCTGTGAAGCCTGAAGTCAACTAAAGGGCTTATGACAACTATCATATAGCCTGCCATTTGATATAAATATTATTTATATGAAGTAGATGCGAATAATTTACCCCTGTCGTGAAATTTTAGCAAAGTGCAAGCTAAAGTTGTGTCCCTGCTTTGACACTCTCACCTTCTTCTCATTTAAGTGCCTTCATCTAAAGTGGGGGGGGGGGGTTGCTTAATATGTCAACTCGTTCAAGTGTATCTTTTTCAAGGACCTTGCCAGTTCACAATGGTGCTTCAGTGGGTCTTTGGATCACAAAATGTGGTCCCATAAATTTTCTAAATTACCTTTCACGATTTTACCACGCGTACAACATGAGTTAGTTAAAACAACGTTATCTACTTATTTAAATCTCCCAGATAGACTCACACGTACAAAGCATAAACGGTTCTAAAAAGTCCATGATACAACTTTTAGAAAAGAAAATACTCATGGGCCGACTGTCAGTGAATTTGATTAGTCAAATAAGCAAATAAGAAATTGCATCAGTAACGTTACAGTTACAAGAATGCGACCAACTAAAATTAGCAAATGTAAGTAAATCTGTCATGTAATTAGGGCATCTGGCCACAGCAAGTAATGACATGGTGAGAACGAGATAGGGAAAGAGTGGGGGGGGGGAGGTAGGATACTAAAAGGCGACAATAATGGAAGGAAGGACGATGACAATTTGGCTCTCTATATATATATATACGTAAAATATCTGAAAGACTACTCCATCACCGAGGAGGGGAAGGGGGGGGGGAAGGCTATTTACACACAAGTACATATTTCTGCTATTCAAGTGGTCTGGCTTTCTGCTTTACTCCGCTGAAGGCAATCCGTACCCAAGTCGTGAAAGAGTGATATTCAATCGTCTACGTTGGATATTCTCGAATTGATGTCTGCGGGTAGGTTCCATGAGTGGGTCAGAGTCATTGCCCGAATCAACAGAAGTGCAATCATTTGATTGAAGCGAATTTGACAACGAACGGTTGGCTGGAGTTGTGGGAGTGCCCGTTAGACCACGACGAATTAGACTGATGTATTGGAAGAGATCAGCCACCGCAGCGATGCGCTGACGAGCCCATGAACAGATCTGGAAGCATTTAATCAAGAGAGAGCCATCTTCTTTTGTAGTCTGAAAGTGCAAGCATGTGGCATTTAGTGGAGAATGCAGTGAAATGTACCATCAAATGAGCATGATGAGGCTTTTCAAATTCCGAGAGTTTAAGCGGCAATATAAATAGTTTTTTTCCAACATATCCTGTATTTTGAAAAGCATTGCGTATATATGCTTCTTTTTATTCATTCAACCGAAGCATAGCCACTTTGTGCATATGTTTCAGTCAATTAAATTCACTGATACTCTTAGTTGCATGCCTCCACCATATTGCTTGTTTAACATAAATTATAAATTTTCAAATCACACACGCCCACCTAACACACTTTATAAACTGTTAAAAAGATACTTAAGAGGTGGGGGTGGGGAGTGAAGAGGGTGCAATTTAGAAAACAAACAATTCAGTGGGGTGTAAAGTTTTTGGCTTACGTGCGTTAACAATTGCGAAGAATCGGAAGCATTTATTAATAAACGTCTCCGTTCTCCAACCGCGCCTGTGGACTCTCTGACTAAAATCGCAACTCATCGTGTCATGAGAATGAACTATGGATTGCATCTCATGACAAGGAGAAGGAGGAGTAAATAGGAGAAACGCGTTAAAATGAAATGAATCACACACACACACAACGAAAGAAAAGTTAGGATCAAAATTTTAAGCTAAATAATCTCCGGTTATTAAAGTGGCATAGAAATGAGAATTTCCCTATCCACAAGCTTTAATTTGATAAGGCACGGAGGAGAATAATGCGAAAGAAATAACATGAAGACGGCCTTCTTCCGAAAAAAAAATTTGTTCAAGGAAATATTAAAGTGCCACGTCAACCTCCTTCAAGAGGTCCTTAAAGCATTTAATAAATTATTGGTCCATTTAAACAAAATGCGTGTGTGCGTATGTGATTAAAGTAAAAATAGAGGGTAAAAGCTCACCGTGTTATGTCGTTAATGGTCTTCTGGTTCCCCGCTCTTTCATCTTTTATTGGTGTTTCTTCAATCTATTGGGGTTACTTCCCGGCATTAAATGCAACACGTTTTCGCATTTTCAATGCCCAATAGCAAGAAGAATTGCATCAACAACCTCTCTCTCTCTCTCTCACAACAACACTGATTCAGTATTTTGACATTTGAAAGAAGGAGTTTGTAGTAATGAATGAAGTCAATTTAGGGACGCAAAAGGAATGAAGAAGGTAAAGGGTGAGAGAACTCTTTCCTACCAATGTTACCAGATTCACCTATCAGTTAAGTGACAAATTGAACGAAGTATGGCTACCATGCCTTATGCATTGTATACCAAGGAAAATGTCATCATTTGTGGGCAGTGCTTTTATCAACCAAACGGAAATAAAGAGACTAAAGAGGGTTAACAAAAAGCAATAAGGAAAAGTCAATGAAAGTTTGACTTTTAAATTTACCGTATTACTCTGGTATCATGCAATTCAAAATAGAACTGATTTCCGACTGCACAGTCAACTAGCGCAACCATTAAAAACAGAAATCGACTTTTTAATGTGGATAATCACGGATAGCTTACCTGAGAGCAGAACGTAGCTGTCACTTGCAGCATTTTTTTCATTATCACGTGTAACCATCTTTCGAGTATTAAAGCGCTCCGGTATAACAGTTGATATGCCCCCCCCCCCCCCCAAATCATAGTCAAATGCGTAATGTCGAGGAGACTCAAGTGAGGAGCTTTAAACCAATCACTGTGATGAAATACTTACACTGTCTAGGAGGTAAAATTTAAAGTTCAACAACTTCCAAACCCTGCAAAATTCGGCATACTCTTGAGAGTGGAACAGAACTCATGATGGATAGCGCAATACTATAAGGTCCACTGTTAAAGGTCAGCTATTATTATTACTATTAGTAAAATTACAAATTAGTTATCCGCATGAAGTCCATTTACTAAGGTGATTTACGTCCCACCATTTCACCCATAAGCACGCACAAATGGCTACACATATACTCAAACTTGACATGCTGAGAATGCGATAAACAGCATTTGGTTACTGCTATAACTTTCAGCGTTGAAAATGAGTATGAACAAGTAAAGTGCTTGCGGTAGTGCAGTTCCTTCCACAGTCGAAACCGTTACTACGAGTCAATCGTGTGCAAACAGATACTTCAGACACACAGATGTGTGCTAGCTATATCATATACTTCGACCTCAAGCCTTAATTAAAGACATCAAATAATTCAATTTGTACGAGAAAAATTGACAAAATAATTCCCCCATAGAAATAGAATTATCGGTCTAAGGAGAGAAAATTTAGCCACTTAGACAAGGATTTTTAAAAGAACATGTTTCACTCACCGATTCGGCAATAACTAACCCAAAGATTTTAGATAAAATGAATATACGTACCTCAAGCTTGATCCTAAATCTGACGGGTTCACAAGGTACTAGAGGGCATTTTGGTGTTCCTTTGGCAACTGGACCGTTTGGATCACAGATGGACAGTGATGTAAGTGGCTCAATTTCCACACCGAGGTGTCCGAGAGCCACTCGTAAAACCTTGCAAATCCGTTCATCAGCGAACTCCAGGGCAGGTGCAATATCCTCCTTCACAAGACGGTGGAAGAACGCAAGTTGCTTTGAAGGTGGCTGAGGGGCAGGAGGCAGCGTTGGAGCTGAGTTTGAATCTGGATATTGTTTATGAGGCGGTAAGATGTCACTAATATCTGAATCGCTACGTGCTCGATAAGTTGATTGGTCATCATGATTCTCTCCGGTGCTTTCGTCATATTCGTGAGAGGTGTGGGTGATATTTTTCAAAGAACAACTTTGCAAATCTGCTGTGGCGCTGAATTCATCTGGCCACGTGACACAACATCCCCCTTCCACCCAGTCAACAAATTCCTAAAAGCAGAGCATAAAAAGTAAATGCCTGGGTTTTGCCAAAATCTCGGCACTCTCATTCGTCTCTTCCCGTTGGCCATATCAATAGAGAACATAAATTAGAAAAAAAGGGTTTGAACAATGATCCACTATTGCTAAATGGATGCGAGTGGGGTTCAAGACCAAGTCAACTTAAATGTTAAAGGGATGTGAATCAAAGTAGAACTAATAGAGCAAGAACAAATCTTCAATAGGCCTGAATGAAATTGTAGGCCTACTCATCCCCTGTTAGGCATATTTTACCATGGGAGTGTTATTGAAAAGTAATGCACACAGTTCAATCGTCCATTCCTTATTTTGAGCACAGAAAGAGGTGTATACATGAGCAATTTTAAAATGGTAATCCAAATGGAAGGAAGACTGCCATTCAGATTTAAAAGTATATGATGCGAAAGCGTCAGTTAGAGACGATCCTTCCTAAAGACCAGGAAAGGGGGGTTTTCAAACTCATTCTCTTGACACCAAGTAGTTTCGCTCAAGACACCATTTAAGGAAATCGTTTCCATTGGAGATAGTGGGACACCAAGGAACCTCCCTGGGGAGAACCTAGTTCTGTCGAATTCTATGTGTGATAGACTTACTTCCACGTGGTACACCCTGGGCAACGGTATACTCATACGGCAAAAAAGTCTATTAACTGGCAGTCGACTTCTGACTTCAAATTACCATGACCCCACTGTATGTCATATTACACCACTTCCACAGTACTCAGACTGCCTTTTCCTTGCCTTTGTGTCTGCCTTCTTTATATCTTTGAAACACTCTTCTGTTCCCTTCCCTCTCGACTTTTTCACTTTGATGTTCCTTTCCCTTCGTGAAGACTGAAGCCAAATAAAGGGCTAATGATAACTATCAAAATGCCTGCCAGTGGATATAAATAATAAATAAATTTTAGCCAATCCTAATCACTGAGCGTGTAACTATTGGAATTGAATCCTTGATATCTGATGTGGCAGAGCAGCACGGGTTCTAATTGGTTTGATAAATCGGCTAATCAGTATTCACTTGAATTAAGGTATCTTTCTAAATACAGAGCTGGATACACATCTTAGCTTGATTATTTTTTGTGACACAAAGCATTGGAGATAGGGAGGCATAAAAGGTGCCAATAACCTCACAGGAAACGAGCGTCAGGGTCTCCGTGAATAAATTTCCCATTGCCACACATATATTTGATAAAATAACAATCAGTTTATCTATCTCCCTCATTAAGAGGAGCAGTGTATGCATCTGGTATAGATGTAATCGACGTTCTTGAAGGGGTCCTTTTCATTCTTGAAGTAATTTTTACTATAATTGTTGCATGTATGCCACCATTAACATCAATAAGAAGTCAATTAGGCATGAAGATGATGATTTCCGGCCCTCTTTAAGACCAATAATTTAAAGCACTTTTTTCAGGGGCTATAAACAAAAACAACTCAAACATTTAACGGAGAGCAGGTCCCATTAAGGGTGTAGCAATATTGCAAAATATGTCGAATTGCTTTAGTTCAAGAGAGCACATACTTGCCTGCGTCACAATCAGAATCACTTATAAATAAAGTTATAAAAATAGCAAGCATCAACGATACTTAAGGTATGATATTTGCCTACTTAGGCACGAATTAAAGGATTAGTGGTGTTGTTTAGAGACCAAGTATTCAGATCAATGAACGGTCACCAATCCATTTGTAACATTCTCTCTACTGCAGTCCAAGTAAAGCCTAACGATTTTTTTATTATCGGTGCATAAGGTGAAGTCATTCATAACTGCACCTCCACCCCTCGCCTCCTCCCCCGACCCCACCACCCNCCCCCCCCCCCCCACCCCCTGTTCAAAAAAAAATAACTGCAGTGACAATCATAGGGACCGATTTAAAGTGCGTCTCAATAAATCTTGTCTGGTCCACTTTTTGCATTGATTTACAAGAGCCTCTTATCAGTTTTATAAAGAAGGCATCGAAAAAAAATTAGTTTTACTTGGTGATTTATGAGTCGCCATAAAATTATAACGATTCATTCTGTTAGAAGTGGGGGGATTACAAAATTGCTTGCATAGGTGGCAGAATTTCTGCGCGTCTCTTTTTTCAACCGATTCCAATGCTTTTCTCTGTTCGCTTTTGCAATTGGATTAAGTCAAAATTGGAGAATGAAACTAAGAAGTCAGTAGAAGAGAGAGGGTTGGTAGAGTAAATCGGAACACTATCAAACCAAATTGATAAAACAGAGGAATAAATAACTTCAATTTAAAAAAATATGCTATGCCCATGTAAATTGTTCATTTGCTATTCCAAAATTTTCAAAACTCAAGTGTAATAATGGCGCCTTGGTTAGACTCTGCAATGCCAGAGGTCACGAGTACCACATAAATCGGAGCTGACCAATCGTATTGATTAAGTCAAACTAATGAGGGGGCGGGGCGGGGAGAGGGGGGGAGAACATTTGAGAGTTTCCTACCTGGGAGGCTAATGGTGATTCCATTCTATTCAACGAAACGCTTTCCTGGATGGATTTAGGAGTTGACCATTAAATAATAACAACTCACTTCCAGTATAATGAATAAAATTTGGAAATAAAGAGCTCTAAAATTACTGCTGAAGATGAGAAATATTTAATGCGTGCCCTGGTGGAAATAATACGGAAATTAGTAATGAGACTTATCAAAGGCCCAAATTTTCCTTACCGAACAAACCGGTCATATAATATTCGCTCACAGAGAGGGGAAAAAGGCGTACATGCTGCCGGGAGCCATGTTTGAACAAAACGCAAGACACCCCCCCCCATGTCAATATTATGTTTACATGTAAAAGGTATTATACGTATGCCGAACTTTGTTCCTATTGGTCATCACGTAGACTGATGGTGTAAATAAAGTGAATGGTGAAATCGGGGGGAAAAAAATATTGATTGACGCATAGAGATACCCCCCCCCCCGACAAGTCTTGACTAAAATTGAATTACATTACTCTGATAGACCTCTTTCAACGCTTCAGCAGGGAAAAATGTGCAACGTCGCGGAGAATATTACATCAAGTCCATCAGAAGCGTGGATAATAAAAGGCATTGTTATTATATAAACACATCCCGGTGCTGTAAACACAGCGTCTATTTCCCACGTGAGGACTATAGAAAAATGGAAAGAGCGAAGTATTCCCCCCGCTACCCACTCTACTTCAAGGGGGGAGGGGGGGGGGGGTGGGGTTCATATTAGAAGGGTTTGAAAGTCATCGGGAAGATCGGAGATTTCACTCGAAGAAAGGTAAAAAAAAGGTAAATTTTCTGAGCATATTTTACAGATCAAGTGACTGCACTCAGCTGAAATATTCCCGCAACACTTTCTCCTCATTTCCCCTAGACTAGGAGGACACCCATTTATCATGTCTTGTAGCCTCACCATATGGCTACTATGCAGGCGCCATAAATTTAGCCTTTTACGAATAAGCCAAATTCGATGTGGCTATACGGACTTGGAATAAGCACTGTAAACATAATAATCAAATAAAATGACAAGGGATTTGAAACAAAGATGGTAAAGGGTGATTTTTTTGAATAAGAAAGAGTAATTTTTATCTAAGACAAAGTTGATAGAAAAAATTGTCATTCGCTCAAAAAAAGGCGACAAATTGCATGGCACCTGCCTTGAATTATCTTTTTGGGGGATGAATGGATGGGGGTGGGGAGCTGCCATTAAGGCGATCACACGAAATTACTGAGTTTTGGTTTTTGTAGCTACTTTGGGATCCTAATGAGACTATATTAGGTACTCAGGTGACTGCGCTTCAATTTGAGGGAATATCTATTCAAATCCGTACCTAACTTTTTAATGGAGGAGTGAAATTACAAAGATATCTAGCACAAAATACAAAACGCTTGGGTCTATTGTGACGGTTCATCATGAATTAATTATGATTGGTGCATATCTGCGTTAGACGTCTGGTAAGTGCACGTCTAGGAATTTTTTACGTACTATTCACTTTCAATATTAAGCAGATGTCCATTTGTGCCTTTTTGGAGAAGATAATGAAACCAGTATGATTGTTTGAACAATTTTTCTCTGAGTGGGTTGGACGGATGTCTCCTGAGAGAATATTAATAAGGCGGAAGAGGAATGATTGAATTATTTTCTATTTCTACCTATAAACTGGAAAGGAGAGTACATCACGAGGAAGTGTCATTCCAGTCCCCAAGTACCAAAAGAAAACAAAAATAAAATTGATAGAAGCATATATATATATATATATATATATATATATATATATATATATATATATATATATATATATATTAAACTTTTCGGATAAGCGGGTGCATGGGTATGGGGTTCTAAATGTTCACTCGTCTTCTTCTTCAAAAAAAACAAACATTTTGAGGGGAAGTGCATTGAAACTAGAACAAGGTGCGCTATTTTTTTGAGAATAACACATTCTGACTTCTGACAACATGGTCGGTAAACTCCGACAAAGGGAGAAGTCTAGACAAGATGCGCACATGAGTTTCGGAGACTTAATCGCACTCAACTGCAGCTCAAAAATAGGTTGGAATTTTAATTGCGTAATTTCAGTGTTTGCAGAGTTCACCCTACGCGAGGGTTTCTCATCTGCGTAAATATATAGCAGTAGGATTAAGAGTAACGAAAATATGAGGACTTTGTTTATTTAAGATGATGATCAAATTTTACCTGGTTTCAAAGCTGTAAACTTTGCCTTATGCTAATAAAACCCTGCTGAAAGAATGGTGAAAATGGTGCAGTCACTGTTCTTCAGACTTGAGCCATTTCCGTTGTTCGCTATCATCCAAATGGATCCTGAAGTATGTGGGCATGAGGACAAGAAATGGAAATCAATGCAATCGGCCCAAAATTGCAATGAAATCTATTCCCCAATAGACTCATCAGGTATTCTGAATAAGAGACAATGAGGTAAGAATTAGAATCTAGGACTCCAGATATATATTTTTATCTTCCAAGAAAGGGCTCTCTA